ACATTGACAAGAACACTGAGAATGATCTGCAGCTAGCTGTTGAAGAAGCTGCCAAGCTGTTAGCTGCAGAAAAATTGGAAGTTGTTGACTTCTCAAGCCATGTAGACTTGTCCACAGATCCTGGTCACTATGTCATCTTCTGGGAATTGAATGGTGAACCAAGCCAAGAGGTTCTTAGTGAATGCTGCAACTGTTTGGATAAATCTTTTGTTGATGCAGGGTACCTTAGCTCGCGCAAGATCAATACCATAGGTCCGCTCGAGCTTCGAATTCTTCGGAAGGGAACCTTCCAGAAGATTCTAAACCATTACCTAGCACAGGGAGCTGCTGTTAGTCAGTTCAAAGCCCCAAGATGTGTAGGACCTCACAACAACATGGTTTTGCAAATCCTTTGTGGCAATGTGGTTAGGAGTTTCTTTAGTACCGCCTATAATAATTAAGTGTATACACACTGTTCAAATTGAGTGTTGATATATGAACACATTCTGTTTTTACTTTGTGACAGTTTGGTAACGTTGGCAGAGAACATAGATCGAACTCTTAACTTATCCTAATCCATTTCATAAGCGATAATTACTTATTGATATTAAATCCGAATAATTTCCCCACCTTTCATCTATTCATGTGCAATAAATGTAGCGTCGATGATGAAGAAAAACAACTTTACAGGTCAAAATATAACTTTCATGGAAGATGTTGACAATGGAAAACCCCCATTCACGTGTAATGTCGTGGTATTAGGTATCTTTTGGCATTAACACAGAGACTTGAGCCAAGCGCCATCTCCATTCTTTTGTTTATTTATTTAATATGGTGAAGCAGGGCCACATGAGTCTCGTCCACCACAGACAAAATTTAAACCTAATTTAAGTAGGTGTCTGACAATGCATTCCTTGATAAAATAATAGCATTCTTACTTTGTCTAATTTGACGTGCATAAACAAATAATATGTGGAGATTGTTTTCTTTCATGAAAAGGCCCAAAGCAATCTAATATTCGATTGCTACTTTACCTTTACAAGTTGACATAGATTTTGCCCTACAGAAAATATTTTTAATGGAGTAAATATGTCGCCTAAAAACGACTTCTGGCTTGTTATTAGATTGCTACTTGAGCTTTACAAGTTAACATATATTTTTCCCTATAGAAAGTATTTTTAATGGAGTACGTATGTCACCTAAAAACGACTTCTGTTGTGGTATTCTTATTTTCACACCAATTAATCAAACTCCACCACGACCAAATGGATTTATGAAACATTTCTTACAACAATAATTACGGTCAACATCGAATAAAATTTCAATCATTAGCTCTATTAATTTTCAATTGATCTCGTTGGCGTTTAGAATTAGTGAGAGTGGGTCGAAAAATGGGTTGGAATTAGGTTTGATTGAGGATTTGATTCTATTTTACAGTAACAGAAAAATACCTCAAGTGATTAAGAGCATTTGCAATGGTTGCTCAACTATTCATTTAAGTTCAGTTTAATTTCAATTTATTGAACTTTTTTGGCAGCTATTGAATTGAATTGCAGTTTTACTTGCAGTGGTGCAGTTCAATAGCTTACAAATAAAAATTATATTTTTTAAATATCCTTTTAAATGATTGAATAAAGTTAATCACAATAAGAATTATACAATTAAAATGGTTTCAAAGAGATCTTTAAAAAAAAACCAATTTTGAATATATAATAACAAAATTTTCTTTAGTTTCTGACAACATTATATTAACACTTTTTTTTAATGAAGAATTGAAAGTTGATATTAAATGAGAACACATCAAAGTTATTATAAGAGAGAGACTGTAGAGTTATTATGGTAGGTCAGCTTATTGAAATGAATTTCATTTCAGAGTTCATTTTATTGACGTATGAAATGAAATATTGATCTATGAAATGAACTGAACTTTACCACTGCAAGTCAAAAGTTCAATTTATTGAAATAAAATTGAAATGACCGTCACCATGGCAGATGCTCTAATGGAAGCCTATGGGTTTAAGACATCAGACGGTACCGCCTATAAAATTCTGAAAATATATAATCCGAAGGAGAGGGAGGGCCTAGTGAGTTAAACATAGTTGGTCACTACATAATGGCGATATGGCCAGTACAGACAAATAATTAATATCTCTACTAATTACGTTATTAAAAAGCAACTGAGCAAGGACAATTATATAGGTGAATGAGGGGGACCTATGGCGCGGTTATATTTCCATGAGTAACGAAGAATCCAAAAGGTGAAAGTGAGTTTGGAAGATGTTGGTTTCCTGGAAGAGGAAAAGCATAAAAGCATTCGTGTGATATAAGCCATACAAAACATACAGGTGACGTTAGGTAGCTAGCTGAAGCACAACATGCACTGACCGAAAGATGGCAGTTTTTGTTCCCAAACATTGCCATGTAGCCTCACTGGCAATATTGATAAGATCCTTGTTTTTTTCTTAATAAATCAATCAAATCATTTGCAGGGAATTTGGTTTTGTTGCATGATGTGGAAGTATATAATCGTTGGTGTTTTATGTAGCTTGATGATTGTCTTGTATGAAATTGGTGGAGCCTATAATTTGTAGTAATATAGAGGCAAATTTTTTTTTTTTGGGACGAAAGTAGTAATATAGAGGCATGATTGAGAAATTCCTATAAAGAAAACTTTAAGAGTTGTTATCAAACACATTGTTCCTTAATTTAAAGGCTAAATGGTCCTCAAATTTATACCTGATTTACATTTTGGTCCCTCAACTAAATTATTCGTTCAAATGGTCCATCAACTCTATATTATTTGCTCTAGTGGTTCTACCGTCTAATTTTCTATTAGATTCAACCTAATTTTAGGGTAAATAATGACTAATTTGCCCTCATATTTAACGGAAATATTGACAGAATGTAAGGTAGGACCAATGGAGCTAATAATATAGAGTTGATGGACCATTTGAACGAATAATTTAATTGAAGGACCAAAATGTAAATCGAGTATAAGTTTAAGGACCGTTTGAGTAATTTACCCTAATTTAAAGGAAAACTCAAACATTATGGTATAAATCATATTTCTTGGAAGGAAAAAAATGATGGATTTCGCTGATGACTAATTTTATTTGCCACTTGATACAAGGATCAAATCCGTAGAATGGTGCATTTTTTTCACCAAATTATCTATAAACATAATATATTAATAAATTTTATTCTTATCGTAATGTACACATTACGTTACATAAGCAAAGAAGACATCAGTTTGATGTACATTATTGGTCTATTGAAAAGTGAAATGATTGGATGCGTACGATCGATGTTGCAACTAAAAGTTGATGGAATGAGAGCAAAACCACAAGTAGCTCCAGGTTCATTTGAACCTGAGGTGTATGCTTTGAGCTTTTCTACCATATAACATTGAATATTCGTGCAATCATGACCATAAATCAGCAGAGAAGGACCGGTGGGGTGGCCGGGGGTTGAGGAGCGCCATTGATTTGGTTGCAGTTACTCAAATAATGGTAGACCAAGTGATGACCTTTTCAAAGTAGGCATAGCAAGTACGCCAAAAGCAAGAAAAAAAATGTTTTCCAACTTCAATAGGGTTAAGACCATGTTGGGTCTGCAACTTTTTAAAGGATAAAAAGGACAGTCTTAATTCTTCCTCTTTCCTACCAAGAATATTTAGTTTTCTTGCAAGCAATCAAATTTGAAATTGATCAATGCAATAGGGCAAACTAACGCTTCTAGAAATCTTTGATTTGCATTCCAGTTTCTTTAATTAGTAGTTATGTACCTATGTCACGGATTGTTATATTACTATTATCATTATTATTTGCTTAACATTTTCAGAAGAGGAAAGACGCACTGTTTTAATTCCTGACTTCTGTATGTTTACGTGACATCTTTTTTTAGAGGAAATCCTAAATCAAGTAATTTTATTGTAATCGATAAAACTTGAATTTTTATGCAATTAATGTTCCTTTTGAGTGGTTGTGGAAGCTTGGGAGCTAACTTTGAAATTGAATTTCTTAGTAGGCTTTTGTTTTCTCTCTTTTGCTTTGCATTCAATCTGAATTAATAGATCTATCTCCAACCCACATACACCAAACCATCCGAAACAAAGCACATGTGGTAATAGCGAATAATCTCCTAAATAGTATTTCTTACAACGTGTACTATTTTAACCGATACCTAATATGCCAAAAAAGATCATATGAAATCTAAGCGTATCCACTTTAGCAGTAGAAGGATAAGTGAATCCTTTGCTTCAATTTGACTTTTAATACAAACTTTTAACATCTTTATATTAAGAAAATTGATTATAAAAAAAAAAAAAGGCATCCTAAATCGAGTAGAGGATGCTTGCATGTACCCTATATTTGTAAAAGAATTAATAATTAAATATGAATATGGTTGAAAGTCAATCTTTATACTGACTTATAATTGAGTGATGTTCAACCCGCATTTCATTTTCTGGAAGTAGATTCTGGAACTTCCCTAAAGTTTGCAAGTGCATGAGAAAATTTGCAATGGTATGACTTTTTTTTGTAAATGTAATCTTCGTTGAAATAAACAATTAGTTGTATTATATTTACCGATCACATTAAGATATATCATATAATTACAGTATATTAACAATTAATGTATCTAATATGAATTATTGTACATTTTTTTTTAACTTGTAGTCTGTGCAAATGTGAAGATAAAAAGTCTTACATTGGAAAGTTGAGAAACCTAACAAGGGCTTATAAGGAGTTGGGCTACTCCTCCCATTGCCAATTGGTTTTGAGATGAAATCTCAACTTCCTTCATAGTCAACGAGAAAGAGAGAAGTTTTACTTATCTAAAAAATATATTATTGGTATAAATAAAATAAAACAAATTAAGAGACAAAACACACGGTCTCACGATTCTCACCCTCCCTTTCCTGTCCTATGGACTTGTGGAGTGCTCTCTCTCTCTCTCTTCTCAAATAAAAGCCAACTTCTACTGTTTATTTGATCTTTAACTCTCATTCAGGTTCAGCTCATAATTCCCACAACCCACAACAATAAACAACTCACCCTTCTCCCTCTCTCTCTCTCTCTCTCTCTCTCTCTCAAAAGATGTCCAAAATCATGTGGAAGAATTTATGCTTCCCCAATTTCATCAAATGCCTACCCACAATCCAAGCTCCACCTGATCAACCCTCTAACCAAAACTCACCACCCCTTCCCTCCACCACCACCACATGTACATCTCTCCTCATCAAAAACTACAACACCCTCTATGACTTCAACTTGATCAACTCCTCCTCCTCCAAGTCCCTCACACCCTCCTCCTCCTCCTCCTCCGCCGACGAAGTCCACACTTCCTCCTCTGATTCAGACTCCGACCTCTCTCCTCCCGATTTCGCCACCATCTTCGCCTCCCAACGCTTCTTCTTTTCCTCTCCGGGCCGCTCCAACTCCATCACCGAGTCTCCACACACAACCACCACCAAACCCAACAAGCCTCATCACAAAACAACGTTGGTCACCAAAGGCGTGCGCGTTCGCAAGTTCTCCTCAAACCCTTACTTGGACTTCAGGCGCTCCATGGAGGAAATGCTTGAAGCTAATAGAGATCATCACATGTTGGTGGGCCATGATCATCATCATCATAGCACAAGTGATGACGTGGAGTATCTACATGAGCTGCTTTTGTGCTACCTCTCACTCAATCCCAAACATGCCCACAAGGACATTATCAGCGCCTTCACTGACCTTGTCATCTGCGTGCTGTCTGCTAACTCGTCAGGGACAGCTTTAGCCGCCGATGACCCGTGAGAAAACCGCCCAAC